ATCGTTTAAATGCCACGGCCTACCTGAGCATTGTTTCTGACCATGTCCATCCCTTTATGGCCACCATGTACCCATCCTCTGATGGCTACTTCCACCATGTCACAAAGCTCTAATCATTTCAAATTGGTTTCTTGAACATGACAATGAGTTCACTGTACTAAAATGGCCTCCACAGTCACCAGATCTCAACCCAATAGAGCATCTTTGGGATGTGGTGGAACGGGAGATTCGCATCATGGATGTGCAGCCGACAAATCTGCGGCAACTGTGTGATGCCATCATGTCAATATGGACCAAACTCCCTGAGGAATGCTTCCAGCACCTTGTTGAATCTATGCCACGAAGAATTGAGGCAGTTCTGAAGGCAAAAGGGGGTCCAACCCGTTACTAGCATGGGGTACCTAATAAAGTGGCCGGTGAGTGTATATATACCGTATATAGTAAGGGTAGTAAGCTTGATGTGTATATTGCCTAATTGCAAGCTTGTTCAGAAATGGTGACAAAAACTTAAAATATAACTGCTTTTCCATCATATTGAACATCATTATATGAGTATTAGGTTGAATGAGTTAGAATGAACTGTTTTATTAATCATTAGAATATAGACATTAAGAGAATAAATTGTTATGCAAGTACTTTTACTTTTAATACTTAAAGTACATTTAAAATCAGGTACTTTTTACTTTTTACTTAAGTAGGGTTGTCATTGTGGTACTTCTACTTTTACTAAAGTAAATATGTCTCTGGTTATTTGTACTTTTACTTAAGTACTGAGATTCAATACTTCCTCCACCACTGCCAAAGATGGCTTGGGTCTCTCCCTCAAGCAATCCTGTGGGATTTTTGCATGTTTTATCATCAGCCAGATTAACATTTTAAGTCCGATCATTTAGACAAATAATATCAAATGTCTCTGCCCAACACTGTCCTAACCACAACACTTTAAACCCTAATAAGTTGGCAAAACTCAAAATATTTGAGGTAATCAGTTAAAAAAATCAAACGTTTTTTTAAGTAAACAAACTCAAAGTTTAGTTAGAAAAACTGTTGATTTTGATTTTGTACAAGAATATTTAATTGCAATTTAGCTGAAATATTGACAAAGCTAACTCATCGAAATTTGATTGCGTAAATATTATATCAAGTCAAATATTTTGACTAGCAACCAATATATAATATATAAGGAAATATTCCTTTTTTAATTGCCTGAAAAAGCACCTCATGCGAGAGTAAAAACTTTTTTGCGATATTTGTTTTTTTAAATTGACGTGTTTCCATTGGCCGTATGTTCAATTCACAATTTCAATCTGCGCAATTTAAAGGGTAATGGAAACGCGGCTAGTGAAGCAATGCAATGGCAATAGTCTTAGCAAGCACCACAAACCAAGAAAAATGAGATATTCTGACTTTTTCACCCCTATAGACACAGGCATGCCGGTCCCACTTAATCTCGCAGTCGGAAACAATGGCATTGTGAGAGTAAAATGACAGCTGGTGTGTTTATAGAGCGCAGAGAGGGGCTTTATCAGCAAACTCCCACCTCAAGAACACTGGGGATCTGATAACACCTCCCCCTAAATACACTTCAGAAAGCTCTTAAGCGACCGAGGAATGTCTCCAGGCTTTCTGAGAGGTGTTGAAGGACAAGTCCCGTCCCCGCTGATGGTCTTTGGGTTGATGACAGCAGGGGAACACTGAAGCTGTTAATCCCGAGATAGAGCACACATTCTGTTTACACCTTTCAGACACTCGTTTCCTCACGAACGACACACATAGACAACTATGCAATCTGGTTTGTAGCTGAAGGTCTGATAAAATGATAATTTCCAACAGGTTATTACATTCTCCCAGCCAATGACATTTTCTTATTTCTTTAACCTGCTCTGCCACTCATCAAGTGGCTTTTACACTGCAAAAAATATTTTCTTCCTCTGAGTTTTTGCCCTGTTTTCCAGTACAACCATCTAAACATCCTTAAATCACGATACATTTACTTGAGAAGCAAAATTACATAAGATATAAGTCTTGTTTTCTGAAAAAATTTATCAAAATTCAGTGACTTTACGAAAAAAAATATCTGCTAATGGGCAAATAAATAAATAAAAGAAAAAAAAACCTTGTTTTTCACTTTAAATTAAGTTTATATTTATTTATTAGTGTATATTTTTGGTTTAAGCGTAAACTCACTTTTTTTTTTTTTCAAGTACTTGTAACTTGATTTAAGAATTTCTACATATATTTTATGGAAATATTTGCAGTGCAAATACCAAATCTTCCTAGAACTGTTAAATGCTATATATCACCAATTAATAATTCATGCACAAAGCGTCACATGTACACTAAGACACTTCGTATTCAATAATATCATCAGTTTGACTCCAATGACACTTTGAGAGCTAAACTCGAAATGAATAAGTCTGCTTTATATTTGTTTCATAATTGATGAATTTTGCAACTGTTATTGGACTGAAATAATCAACACTGAATAATGACACTATTGTCTTCAGTAGAGCTGCTTTACAGCAGAATTGAATTGTGTTTGCATCACTAATCGTTATTTTCCCGTTTATCACTATAAAGCTGCTTTGAAACAATGTACAAAGCATTATATAGCCTACTTAAAGGTGACTTGACATGCGAAAGTACTTAAAGTAAGTGATTTGAACAAACTTCTAACCCTCAGTATGAGCAAAAACAATAGTGATAAAAGCTGCAGATATAAACCAGCAAATGCCAGACAATCCTGTCTCTCCCAGTTCTGGAGGCTATTGTAGATGAGGGCAAAAGGTCATGGATAATTTTATCACTTGACATTCCTTACAACAATGGTTACAGCATTTGAACGGACAGGAGGAGATGCCCTCCCTGCCCCGCAGAGACCCGCACACGGGCACGGGCCGTTCCCACACCACCCAATCTGAGAAACAGGAAAAACAACAAGAGGAGAACATCGGCTCACATGGAGATGGTATAACTTTGAGTGATAGAATCAAAATGTATGATTTTATTTAATGGCCCTGGCCATGAGTAATCACTGTCCCCAATGTGTGGTGAACCAGTGCCCGAATTTATGTACACGATATACTGATTCGAGAGCTCAGGAGCTGATTGAGACACAGCCTTTGTTTCTCATCAGAAGTCACAAATCGCTTTGTGATTATTGGATGGGAGGCATGCTACAAATAATGTTTGGTGTATGGAAAAGCTGCAGACCTGACATCCATTCATAGAGCCTGGTTTAACCTCGCTATTTTTAAATGTTAATGCGCTATTGTGTCGTTAACTTTGACAGCCCTGAATTCAACACCAGAGAGATTGTCTTCTTCACACACAGTATGAGTTGCAGTTTTTCCGCCCCCTTTTGATTGACAGGATTTAATCGGCCCTGATCATTGGCTGTTTTTCTGCTCTTTTCAGACAATGGCAAAATAACTGCTTTCATGGATGATACATAATGGGCCCTATCTTCCACCCGGCGCAAATGACTTTGTACACTGACGCATGTATCATTCCTATTTTGCACCCGCGCAAAGCGGGCTTTTCCCTCCACAACGTACGTCGTAATGATGTTTTCCCTCTTACGTCGGTAAACTAGGGAATGAACTTGCGCTCCCTGGGCGGGTCGGCGCAAAAAGGAGGCGTGTTTCGGCGCAAACATTCCCTAATGCTATTTTGCAGTTCCAGAAAACAATTCCGCCACTGACCAGAACAAGCCTAGTCTAAAGTCAGTGGCGCGTTGCGCGTTGTTTATAATGCTATTTTAAGCAGGCATGCTTGGCCATAATGTAGCGGGTGCACAACGCGCATACACTTTGATTCTCTCATCAACACAGATGCAGCAGTTTTTATTTTTGCAAATCATACATTATAACAAGGAAAAATATTAACACATGAGGGAAATCATTGCGGTGTCCATGAAGATGTAAAAAAAATGTAGGCCTAAATCTAGCTTACACATTTACCCAAATTTTTCAGGTTAATTGTAGTAATGACGGATCAGACCTGTTTGCCCAATAGTGGCAAGACACTTATGTATATAAGGACATCTGACAAATTAGTTTGTTTGTCAAGAACCAGGAAAAAAAAAATCTCCCGTCCCCATCCAACGTCACTTCTCTGTCTTTCACGGCCCTGACAAGAACGTCGGTCTCCTCGGCTGTGAACCGCTCCTGGCGCGCGCCTGGTAAATCCGCCGTTATAATAACAATCCGCCATGCAACATGCGCACCTGCTCTTAAAGGGTATGTTGGATGACGCTCTGATTGGTTTATTTCACGTTACGCCCAAACCACACCTATGAATAATGAAGCTGTTTCAGACCAACCCCTTTTAAACTTGCGTCGGCCGCAAGAGTCATTTATCCCGCCGGTAAAATAGCAACAGCGCCCAAGACCCGCCCACAAAGTTACTTGCGCTTCGCGCTTGATACTTGCGTTTCAATAGTTAAAATAGGGCCCCATATATCATTTTAATTGCTTTTTAATTTTATTTGAATATATTATAATTTATTTTGTTTATATATATGAATGTATATTAATGCATTTTCATCATGAAGATTTTTGGCTGAAGTGTGTTTGGCTTAGAAATGGTGTTACTGAGTCTATATTGAGAAACAGAATAGACTGACATCAAACCATCTTTTCCAGAGACATTCCCAGGCCTGGTGTGTGCAATAGTGTCTATCGACAGGAACGTTTTAAAGACCAGCGAGTGGGACTCTGGTTCGGAGGTGTGCGTTTGTGAAGACTAGGCAGGATAGTATCACCTTAAATGTTCTCTGAGGGATTCCTCCTGTATTAAACACCAAGCTCTCCTGACCAAACTAACCGCCGGCTCATAAACCTCATAAACCCTGCTGGATCTCAAACAATCTGCCCACAGTATCTCTGAGAGCAGTAAAGCAGCAGCAGGGAAGGCGTCGAGCAAACCCTCTTCGCTTTTCATTTAGTGAGGTTTAAGCTTTAAACATAATGACATAACATTTTCCTTGTCTCGTCTACCTTGGCACGTCCTCTCATTGGTCAGAAGTTTGTATCCTTTCTTGCAGCTGCACTCGAAGCTGCCCACCGTGTTTCTGCACACATGGTCACACCCTCCGTTGTTCATGCGGCATTCATCAATGTCTGAGAGAGAGAGAGAGAGAGAGAGAGGGAGGAATGAACGCTTGAGCACATTTTGTTTGAGCAAATACACATGCACAGGATTAGTACCGTTGCTTTCAGTTTACCATGATTCAAACCAGGAGGAGAGGATGAACGTAATAATAATATAAAGGTAAAAGGGGTGATTGACCGCAAATATGAGAGATTTGTTTGGGCTTAAACTATCAGCTCACTGTTTGAATCAGAAGAGGATAAAAAAAATATATAAAAAAATTATACAAAATGGACACACTTTACAATAAAGTCTCATTTGTTAACATTAGTTAAAGCAACATTTTTCAAGCATTTACTAATCTTTGTTAACGTTAGTTAATAAAAATCTAATTGTTCATTGTTAGTTCATGTTAACTAATATAGTTAATTAATGTTAATCAATGAAACCTTGCAAAAAATAATAACGACACTATTGTCTTTTTACAGCTGCTTTACAGCAGAATTTGAATTTGTCTCATATTTGATAAAGTTTGCAACACTGATTCTGTTATTTTCCTATTTATCACTATGAAGCTGCTTTGAAACAATCTGTTATATAAAGCACTGTATAAATACTATGCTATAAAAACATGCCTTAATATTGCTACCATATTGCTAATTGTGCTTCACCCACCATACAATTTACCAGAGAAATGCACTTTATTAGCTGAAGTAACATATTTAAGTCCAAATATGAAATTTGTGATATTAAACAGTTCCACAGCCACACATTACATTTATGCATTTGGTAAAGGCTTTTATCCAAAGCGACTTACATTGCATTCAAGGAATACAAATAAATATGTTTTTTTCTCAGTACTTTTGTCTTGTTTTCCAGTACAAATATTGAAACATTCTTAAAAAGAGATACATTGAGAAAAAAAAAATATTTTCTGCAAAAATGTATCAAAATGAAGTGACTTTATGCTCAAAACATAAAACAAATCTGCCAATAGAGAAAACAAAAACAAAAAAAACCACTAGATTCCCCTTTAAATGAAGTGGTAACTCTTTACAATAAGGCTCCATTAGTTAACAATTGTTAACTAACATAAACTAGCAATGAGCAATACATTTTTTACAGTATTTATTCATCTTTGTTAACAATACAAATAGGCCTACAATCCTCATTGTTAGCTGATGTCAGCTCAGGTCCATTAAATGATATTAACAGATACAACTTTTGATTTGAATAATGTATTAGTAAATGTTGAAATTAACATCAACTGATATTATGTACAGTTACTTAATTTTGATATATTTTCAAGTATTTCAAGTCATTTTGCTTCTCAAGTAAATGTATCTTGATTTATGAATGTTTAGATATCTGTACTGGAAAAATGAGACAAAAATATTGAGGAAAGAAAATAATTTTTTGTAGCCTAGTTCATGAGCTAAACTTTACAGTTTGAGCGACGGCAATCTAAGAAAAGAAGTAAGAAAATGAGGGAAAGAGAGGAGGATACGAGAAATGACTGAAGATGGAAGAAGACGAGCTCTCTGACTGTATTGTGCCGGACACACATGTGAATGTGCGACTGCTGGAATAGACCTCATGGGGCTCGAACAGGAGGAACTCCGCATCGGGGATCAGTATATCATCAGCTTGTCCTGCTCCGCTCAGGCTTTGATTGAGCTGGTCTGGATGTTTCTGATTACAGCTGAATCATCGGAGTAAATGAGGCGTTCATCTCAGAGAAAGGCTGCATCATCTGGATAAAATAACGGCTCCTTCGCTCGTGTCTTCTCGTGCCAGTGCTGTCTGGGGATGTTTTCCTTTGTTTCTTCTACGGCAGAACTAATAAAACTCAATGTTCTTTTATCAGTCTTGTTAGCGTAACGTTATGAGCGCTCGAGGCGACGCAGGCTCCCAGTCTTGGCC